CCAACAACACAATCAGTCAAGTTCATTAGCTTTAACAACGCTAATCTCTGCCGACACACAACTCTTGACTAACGACCATAAGAATTGATAAAATTCTTAAGAATAGACTTTTTTATCCTCTAAAGACATTCGTCAGCAACGGAGTTTTTACGATCTGGAAAACTCGCGAAACATTCCTATCTATCAGTCGTCTCAAATATGACACTGCGATTGCTCAGTCAGTAGAACGTTCGACTCAGAACTGGGGTCCAGGTTTCGAGCTTTAATCGGGTCACTAGTATCCTTTCTTTCTATGGTTGATAAATGGGTATCTCTCTATGGGAAGGAAACAAGAGAATGCCCAACATGCTTGCCGCGCGAGCCCCTAAATCGTCTTAATGGCTCATCACTTGAGATATAAGATATCCTATAAAACTCTTCCAACCTACTGCAGTCGACTTTGTCTTCAAAATATTGCACTCCTAGCATGGAGATCAGCGCCAACCATAAAAAACAGAACCAAAAATGACCATCATAAGCGTATGTAAGATCGAAGTTCTAACGATTAAAAAATTTTCATTTTCTTTCAGATCTAATACTGATGCTCAGTTTTGTTGTATTTCTCCGTCAGCGTCTCGTTTTGCCGACCACAGAGATAAGCGCGAATGTCGCAATCAGGAGATGGTATTTCCTCGTGAGGGTGGGCAGTCCCAGTTGAGTTTCAGCAGGCGAACCATACGTCTGAAACCAACGAAAACCAGTGTGAGTAATCAGGCACACAACTGAAAAATCTAGATGCGAGCCTAAGACATTCGCCACATGACTTAATAACCCAGGCTGTACGTTTTGCACTGTTTCATCATCAGAAGTTGACAGCGGTAGACGTACTTACACTTACTGGGTAACACTGTAGGTAGTTCGATCTCAGAACATATCAGCCGTGATCAAATTCTGGTAACTTGTGTATTTCAGATACCCTGATACTAACAGTTCGACAGCGTTCGCTAGTTTAGTTCGTTGCAATGAAAAATTGTTCCTCAACATACAAAAAATATGAAAAGAAAGTTTGCAACCGTTTGCATGTCGGTCTTGTTTCCACTTCAATGATGGGGGCATCTGTAGCATCTCCCTTTCGCGGCGTTCATGAGACGGCATTGATTTCCTTTTGTATGCCTAAAGTCGGGAGTACCTTACATTTTAAAGCAATGCCAATAGCTGTGGTCCTAACAGCATGCAGTTTTTCGTTTGCTAATCATGAAGTTGCACTCATTTACTTGCATCATAAGCCTGAAACTAGAGTAATTCAAACGGACTTAAACCTAAGATCATTTGCTTGCGAATCTGACGTTTCATCGGCTCAATTACTCTGGTAAACGAAGGCATCAGCTGTTATAGCTAAATGATGCTTAGCCACCAAACCGCCCAAAGGACTTAAACTGTTTACATACTTGCAGGACATAAGTAACATGAGGAAACAAGTTATCAATAAATAACGACTGCGGAAATCATTAGCATCTGAAAGTCGCCAACTGAATGAATGTTACGTTGAGACTCACTTTGAAGGCGCACGTATAGAAATGACGCCTAATCTATCGACTGAGTCTCTTGAAACGCAACTTTATGACATTTCTTAGACACTGGCGGAAAAAATCAATGCTTAAATCTCGAAACATTTCGCTAGTTGAGAAGAGACAAGGTTGTTTAGTTAACGCTGAGCAATTCGGTACGCTTGTGCTCTCTAGGAAATCCTTCTCAATTTTGCCACTGATTGAGCTTTACGTACAGCACTCGCAGGAAGCGACGGAAGGCGTTGAGGATAGCCCTGGCCTTCGCATCACTAACGTCAGCCACGCGTGACATTATCCACTTAACAGAGAATTATGCAGCGAGTTCAAGAATCCTTCAGAGCGTAAATGAAGTGGTATCTTCTACTGAACTACATATTAATGCCTCAGAAACCAAGATTTCCTCTTCAAGCATACCAGAGAAAGATAAACAGCCAATAAGTCTTGAACTCAGCCATTATCGATGAAATCAGATTTATCAAACATCTCGAATCTAATATTACCTATGGCCAACCGAAAGATGAAACTGCGTTACGTATTTTAACAGTGAGGCGAGTACTTTTCCACCTACGCAAACCTCTTTGGACGCGTCAGAAAAATTAACCTCTGATTATAAGTGAACTTTTGCAGGCAACACAAATTTGACACCGATTTAACATGTGTATTCTTACGGATGTTGGCCGCTCTCAC